ATTATACATTGGAAAAAACAAAATTCGGAAGTTAGAAAATTTGGAGAATTTGAAGAAGCTTACTGTGCTGAGTGTACCTGTGAGTGCTGATTTCTAATTTTTTCTCAGTTCCAAATTTCATCATATGTAATTTATTAATTGCTTGTTATTTTTTCTGGAAACTTGGTATTAGGACAGTTAAATTTTGCAAACCTGAAATACCATACCTTGCTGGCAGGTATGATGCGCCGCCGTGCGACTCAGCAGTGGGGCAGCGAGAGCTTTTAAAATTCTTCCATCGGTTTCGTGGAATCCAAGTCTCATCTTTGGTTACAAGCAATACGTGAATGAGGAGAAAATCTAAAATCGCACCAGCGAGAGACTGTTCTTGTTACTTGTTGCTAGACAGGCCATTTCGTAACACCTCGTCTTTCAAAGAGAATCAAGATGGTTTTAATTTTTGGCTTTCGTCGTTATTTTTACCGCGCTTTATACTAAAATTATTGCAATCTGATATGATTAAGGGAAATCGTATAACTGAACTGAGCGGGATTTCGCAGCTCACTGAGCTCTCGGAACTTCACATCAGTGATCAGGGGATCCAGTCTTTAGCCGAGCTGATTCATTTGGTTAGTTCCGTTTTCACTCCAAGTTGACGATTTAGTTAGTGTTTTACTGTATAAGAATTTTCGGTAGTAAATAGTGAAATATTTTTAGAAAAAATTGACAATAATTGATGCTGGAAACAACAAAATCACGAATCTGGATGGACTCAATCATTTGGAAGAACTGACAGATTTATGGGTACATTTACAATTATTTTTACACATTTTTTTAAAAACTTCCTCCAGCCTTTAAATCATATATCAGCACGATTTGGGTTGGGATGTTGTGCTTTTGGAGTTAATGGATTGCTTTCATTTATCAGGCGCACTTATGCCAGGTCCTTCCACGCTGAGCCACTTAATTCCACTTAGCACTCCTACCTGTTCAGTGCATATGCTGTTTTTCTCTGAAGCCTTTTGAATGGCTGTTCTTTTTCTGCGAATAACACTCACTGTCACTCGACTTGGCTGTCAGCAAGGCTTGGAGCATGTTCTTCGGATTTTGCTTTCTTACGCGATTGCATTGTCATCTTATTCACAGTTTATCCAACGAAGCGTCTTTTTATGCGTTTTGTGTTATGTAACAGCAGTAAAAAACGCATATTATCACGAGGTTGTCTCTGTGTGTGTTTGTATGTATGTATGCATGTATGTATGTATGTATTTATGTATGTATGTATGTATGTATGTATGTATGTATGTATGTATGTATGTATGTATGTATGTTGTATATGTATGTATGTATGTATGTATGTATGTATGTATGTATGTATGTATGTATGTATGTATGTTTGTTATGTATGTATGTGTGTATGTATTTATCCGCAGCAACTTGTCCGCAGCTTTCAACTCAGGAACCACAGAAGATAGGAGCTGAAAATTTACGGGATCGTCCCCCATCCATGTGTGATCCCGCAAATTTAAATTCAGCCTCCCTGTACCTGCAGGTAACAAGTACGGCCTCGTAAAAGTTTGGGCGGGTAAATTATTATCACAGGAAGCGTGGAAGTTAGAAGGCTGAAATTTTGTGGGCGTGTCTCTCGCCCATGTGCTACCTAACAAATTTAAATTCAGCTTCCCCTGCCGCGGGTAACACGAAAGGTCCCGTGAAAATTTTAGCGGGGAAATTATTATCTCGGAAATCACAAAATGTGCGAAGCTGAAATTTTAGGGTAATGACCCTCCTTTTTCACGTATGATCTTGAAAATTCAAATTCAACGTTCCTGCACTCTTGGGTATCGCTTACGACTCCGTGAAAATTTTGGCGAATAAATTATTATCTCGGTGACCATGGGATCTAGGAGGCTGAAATTTTGGGCAGTGATCCCCTTCCCACGTGCGACCTTGCAAATTCAAATGCAGCATTCTCGCACTCTCGGGTACCAGCTGCGGCCTCATGAAGATTTCAGCGGGGAAATTATTATCTTAGGAACCATAAAAGCTAAGAAACTGCAGTTCTGCGGTAGTGCTGGTGTGTGAGATTTATGTGTCGATGCATGGAATTTTTAACTATTTTTCACCGTTTCAATTATTTCTGCATAGACTTAAGTACTACTAAGAGCAGTTAAAATCATTAACAAGCAATCGTTTGGTGGACGAAATGCACAAAACGCGTGGTCGCACCGACCAGTCTGGTGCGCGTTGCTATTTATTATTTTTTTAATGCTCTAATTAGATTGGCTAGCGCGGGAAAGACTGTATTTGTGTGAAATTCCTGTCTTCTGTTAGCTCACCAGTTTGCATTAAATGGCATATTCGCGCTGTGCGCTTTGCGATTTGTTATAATTATGAACAATATTAGTTAGAAATAAGGCTTTCCCAAGGGTACTTACTGAGATTGAATGTTCGTCGTTGCCGGTCAGTTATTCCCGTTGTTTCAGATGAACAACAATGAGGTGTCGGACTGGAATGAGC